GGGCTGCTGGGCACGATGCTGCTGTGAACACAGGTGCCCACACATACCTTCAAGTCCCTGCTTTCCCTGCTTTCGCACCGATATGCCTAGGAGTGGAACTGCTCTGCCTCGAGCAGGGTCCCAGCGTTACAGGGGAATTCACACACTCCCTGCAGAAAGGCCCAGGGAAGAGTCTAGAAGGAGGGCCAGGCACACAGGTGGGCAAGAAAGCGCCTCTCTCTCTGATGCACCCCCCACCCACTGCCCTCCACACTCACGCCCAGAGTAGAAATCTTCCCTCTGAGGTTTCTATTCTTGTCCTGAGTTCCGTCCATCTCCAGTTACCGGGTGATCAATAGGGACAGGGCATTTGTGGAAGAAGACAAGAAGGCAAGACGTGGGGAAGGGGGGAGGGGGGGAAAACCAGGTGGGTGTCAGCCGGTCCAGGGACTCGGAGCAGAATCTGGCCAAGCCGGTGGGCTCGGCCAGCCCAGGGTCAGACACGCCCATCCAGGCCCAGCTCTGTCTCTGGGACGGGGCATGTCTCCCCCCTCCAAGCTCCTCTTGGGTTCAAAGCGGGTGAGGACACAGTGCCTGTAATCTAACACTCACCAAATTTCTAAGTGGTATCTATAAGCTCCTGTTCACTTAATCAACATTTATTATTGTCGTACGGAGCAGGTGCTCAGGACCTTAATCTGACCCATGGACCTCTCTCCACCATCTCCCACGAACGCCACCCTGATGCGCTTGAATACCTCCAGGACAGGGAGCTCCTCCTTCCCTGTCCCCAGCTGACAAAGGCCCAGCTGGACTGGTTCCCCAGAGCCTCCGAGAATTTTCTGAGCAGAGGAATTTGCCCCTGGTCAGGGCTTGGGGATGAGAACCGGATGACCCCCGTCTACTCTCTGTCCCAGACCCAGAGTGGGCAGGACTTGTCAGGGCCCGCAGGGAGGCAGGGAGGCAAGGCTGGTGGGGGCAGAGGCCTCAAGGTGCTGAAGCCTTTCCTCTTACCCCTGCTCTGTACTCATTCCTCATTCCACAGGGCCCTGGACTTTCTCCAGCTGCTCTGCCCCCCTCCCCTGCAGTGGCCAGGTGCCTCAGCCCCCCCTGCCCCCCAATCTGGGTCTTCCTTGCAGGTGGAAATAGCTGACAACAGTGGCAGGTTGGGAGCAACCACAGTACCAGAGACCTTTGGGTTTGGGAGAGGGGGTCAGTGAGACGGCCCTATATAGAGATGCACTTGAGCTTGGACATGCCTGGGTTGGATCTTGGCTGTCTGGTGTTTAGTTTAGCTGTGTGATCTCCTTATGTTCCCTGACCTCAGCCTCTGCATCTGAAAACAGGAGGTAGAGGGGAGCGCTGTCTCTATCGGGCAAGGTGGGGATCAGGTCTGGCTTGCTCAATGCCACGTTCTTGGCTTATGGGATCTTAGCAATTCAATAACCCACTGGGGAGTCAAATGACTATTAATTAAATAAGAAAATGCACATGAAGCCCTTAGCTCGGAGCTCAATGAGACTCACTCAATGAGACTGTAGCAAATGCTCAGTAAGTACCAGCTACTATTGTTGGCAGGCTACAAAGGGAGGCACACGGGACCATGAGACTCAGGGAATCCCAGAATGGGTTCAATCTGAGATCCCAGAACCTGAGAGGCCCCGGGAGGTCCCCAGGCGCCCACTCAGGAACAGCAAGGGCATCATCTGGGCGGTTCCTCCATACGCCTTTGCCGCCCTGCCTTGTCTCCGGGGGGCCTCTCTGACTCCCTAGCACTGCTGGGCTTTCCCACCCGGAATTTAAAAAGGAAAAGCGGAGGAAGTTGCAGCCCTTTGCTGAACCATCTAACCAGACCTAATTAATCGATAAGCCAAGCTGCCGCTTTCCTGCCAACCAGCTGCCTGAAGAGTACTTACTTCATCTGTGAATTGATTGCCGTACTTTCGCCACCATTACGTCTAATCCCCGCCACCCGCAGAGGCTGGGTGCCAAAGGGAGCTGGGAGCTGCTGAGCAGGGGCTGCCCTTCCATCTTGCCAGGGAGACGTGGTCTCCAGGCGCCCAGTCCTCAAGTTACAGGTGGAAAACTGAGGCCCGGAGAGGGGTGGAGAGGGGCAGGGCCGGGACCGGCTCACCTGGCCCCAGATCACCCGATGAGGTGGAAGGAGGGCTGTTGACCACACTCCTGAAGATGAGGGTCCCCCTGCAGGAGCCCAAGGCAGATCAGAAAGGCGGATGCAACCCCCAGAAGGTGTGGGGATCTGGTTCCAACCACCACATAGTGCTAAGCTGGCTGGGACTGCAGAGTGAAGGAAGGGTCTTACACTAGCCACTGCATCCCCGGGGCAGGCAGAGGTCACCGAGAGGACCAGAGGCCCAAAACCTGGACACAGATCAGAGACCTCCATCCTTGACCCCCAGCTTCCACAACCGTGGCCACTTATCAGGTCGTTTCCAGAACATTCCTGATTTAACATATCCTGCCCCAAGCAGGGGAGGGTTAGAAGTCGCAGGTGTCAGAAATAGAGGCCCTTGCACGTGCACCTGTCAGCCTTGACCCTGAACCACCTCGTCAACCACTTGCCTTTGCCTTGGCCCCCCTGGAATACACACGCAGAGTCCAAGTAAAATAAAAGGCAAACACGAGCTGAAAACAACAGCCCCACTCTGCAGGCAGGACCACAGTGATCTGTCAGCACACAAGCTCCTAGCCTTTGCCCCGAGCCCCTGATGCTCTTCCTGTGCCTGGACAGATTTCTTTCCAACGTCTCCCCAAGATGTAGAAATTACGCACACGGGTGTATTATACATTTGACAGAAGAGGGATTATACTAGACACACCATGCAACAAATTGCTTTTTCCTCTCATCAGTAATTCTATACTTGGGGTCTTTGGAGCCTGCTGTGGAAAGACGCCCCTGGTGTATGTTGTCCTAGCAGGGTTCTTGGTGGGACCCCTGCCCACATGGCCTAAGCCATGTTTCCGATCCTGATTATGTCCCACCTTAGCCCGTTTAACTGTCACCACCATCCAGTGAGAAGGGTGTGACTGTTATCATCCCCATTCCACAGGTGGGGAAACTGGGGCACAGAAGGGTCCTTGTCCGGGGTCTCACAGCCCCTGGATGGCAGTGCCAGGAATCCAACAAGGCTGTCTGGCTCCGGAACCGTGCTCCCAACTAGCCAGTGTTTTCAGACTAAGGCACGCATCAGAATCCCCGGACGGCTCACTGGAACACAGATTGCTGGGCCCACCCCTGGAGGTTCTGATGCAGTAGGTCTGGCGTGGGGCCTGAGAACTGGCATTTCTAGGAAGTTTCCAAGCGCTGCTGATGCTGCCGGTGTGGGAGTCATACTAGGAGAGCATCACATGCTGCTGCCCCTTATCACTGACCGCTCACTGACCCAGGGATGAGGCTTCCCCGAGCCTCTCCGGAGCGCAGACCAGGGTGTTAGGGAGCAGGCTCAGGGATAGAGTTCTTGCCCCTACAGACTGCACATGATCTGTTGAAGGAACAAATGACCCAGATATCATGGAGTCACTTAGTCATCCGCCATCTTTCCTGGGGATCAAAGGCCTAGTTTTTATCTACGATGGTCTTTTGTCTTCGGCCAAAGTGGCCTAGAAACATACTCTTCTCCAGAGCTGTGAGTAAAGGATGAACTCAGCATGTGTGGGCTGTCCACACCCTGCATATGCCAAAGAAAAGTCTGGCCCTTGACTGGCTTCTGTGAGGTAATCTCTGAGCCATTGGAATGTCTTGCCTGGTAAGTGTCTTTGTTTACCTGGGGCTTTGGGACACATTAGTTTGGTTTACGGTGATGATATGATTGATGGCAGGGGGCTTCTAGGTCAAGGGATTGAAGACCAAGGTCAACCATGCAGGCAGTCAGCCATGCCTACATGATCAATTCCCAAAAAAGACCTTGGATACCAAGGCTTGGGCAAACTTCCCTAGCTGGTGCTATGCCACACATGTGATCACACATCATTGCTGGGAGGACTGAGTACTGTCTGCAGAACTGCACTGGGAGAGGATAAACAGAAGCTCGCACTGCGGTCTCCAGGAGCCCACGCATGGACCTTTGTCTGTTGCTAACTTTAATCTCTTTTCAGTGTAATAAACTGTAATTGAGAGCGTACTGTTTTGCTAGGTTCTGTCCTTCTAGAAAATCATTGAGCCTGAGGGTGGTCTTGGGGACCCCCAGACACAAGCACCAATTCACTGAGTTGCCGGACGGTTACAGAGCACCTCCTGAGCGCTCGGCTTTTGCCCACGCCCTGCCCACATTGCCCAGCTCCACTGGTCTCCTCTAGACCTTCCGGCCCTCCAGGCCCTCCAGAGGACATTTATCATCCATCATTCACCTCCCTCCATGGAAAAACCAGGTGTCTTGTCTGTGCAGCCCTGGCCACCATAGGCAGCCCCTTTGATGTAATACCAGGTACCATCCCAGATACCAGGTAATGTCCCAGAAACCAGGTCATATCCCGAGTATCAGCTAACATCCCAGGAACCAGGTAACATCCCAGGAACCAGGCAACATCCCGGGTACCAGGTAACATCTCGAGAACCAGGTAACATCCTGACTAACAGCTAACATCCCAGGACCTGGGCAACATCCCAGGACCCAGGCAACATCCTGGCAAACAGGTAACATTCTGAATACTAGCTAACATCCCAGGACCCAGGCAACATCCTGGGAACCAGGTAACATCCCAGGAACCAGGTAACATCCCAGGAACCAGGTGACATCCCGGAAACCAGGTAACATCCCAGCAACCAGGGAACATCCTGGGAACGAGGTAACATCCTGAGTACTAACTAACATCCCAGGAACCAGGTAAAATCCCAGAAAACAGGGAACATTCTGGGAACCAGGTAACATTCTGAGTACCAGCTAACATCCCGGGACCCAGGTGACATCCTGGGAACCAGGTTACATCCTGAGTACCAGCTAATATCCCAGGACCCAGGCGACATCCCAGGACCCAGGTAACGTCCCCCCAGCAGGCCTTACCTGCCAATGACCTCGATGTTGGAGATGGCATAGAAGTACTTGTAGAGGTTCTCCCGCTGCACGTAGGTGCCCCCCAGCGCAGGGCGCAGCAGCCGCATGCGCAGGTCCGTGAGAGTGAAGAACTCCTTAAGGCCCTTGGCGCTCTCCAGCCGCGTGTAGAGGTTGCCCATGTTGCGCAGGTCGGGGCCAGCGAAGATGGCCAGGCGGTCCCGCACCTCGAAGCGCACGTGCTTCTCCTTCTTGGAGCCCGCCCAGCGCGAGTACTCCTCGGTGCACAGCACGCGGTGGGCGCCCGAGGACGACAGGTCGCGGGCGCGGCGCGCCACCATGCCGAAGGCCTCCATGCAGTCCTCCGCGTAGAACTGGTAGGGCTGCCACGTGCGCCCGTTGTCCAGGGACTTCTCCAGGACCATGACCGTGGGCCGGCCGTACTCGAAGGTCACCACCACGTCGTCCGTCAGCTCCACGCTCTTGTTCCACGAAAGGGTGATGTTGGCTTCCAGCGGGCTCGGGTAGCGGCTCCACGTGACGCTCTGCCAGTACGTGGCCAGGCCCTCATCCTCCTTGTCGAACATGAGCCGGGGCGGGTGGGCCAGGTCCGGGTTGGAGGCGTCACACTCGTTGCTGCACAGGTAGGGGTTCTCCTGCGGGAGGAGGAGACGGGAGGGGTGGGCGCTGACAGCTCGGGGGGCGGGGCCGGGGCGGGGCCGGGGGCGGGGCCCGGGAGACTCCACCCGGCCCGGCCCCAACTGTGTGCCCTCCCCGGGCGTCTGCCCGGAAGTGGCAGAAGGGTCCGGGCACCAGGAACCTCCGCTGGGCTGGTGATTTGCACCCATTTCCCCAAAGCACATAGAGGCATGCAAGTCTATGGCTTCCCAAGAAAACGCACACTTGCCCCTACTCCAAATACAATCAAGAGGGGCGGGTGTTAGTCACCTGCTCCCAAGGCCCCCATGGTTCCTCACGGCCTGCAGGTAAAGTCCTGCCTCTTTAATGCGACTCTTTAGTTCTCTCCTTCCACCATACCTGGAGCCACTGTGCTCCTGGGGCCCGGCCCAACCAGAGCACTCCTGCCCTCCACACCCAGCTCGTCTGCGCCTCTGAGCCTTCGCAGACCGTATTCCCTTTCCTCCATGTGCCCTTCCACTCTGTCTGCCTTGAAAATTCCTACTCACATTCTTAACTCTTTAAACATCTCCTACACCAAGACGCCTTTCTGACCCTTTAAACCAATAGCATTATAGCAACAGGAATGAGGTAGGAGGGGAAGTCGAAGTCTCCGCCCGCGGTGTATATTAGTTACAGACCTCCTCGCCTCACTTCGCCCGTCCGCCATCTCACTTCCGAGCACAGAATGCGAGTATTAGCTCCACACTCTGGATGAAGCAACCCGGGCTCGGGAAGGTGGGGGCCCTGGCCCAAGGCACCCACCAAGCGCCAGAAGCCATGCCTTGGCCTCTGCTGCAGAGCATGGCAGTCACGCCCGCCTCTGCCAGGTGGCCTGTGTGCCCACTTCATGCGTAGTCTGGGCGCACTGGGAGGATGCTGAGTGTCTACAGGCTCCTCTCACGGGGGTGCATCGTTGTGGCGAGTCGTTTCCAGGGCCTTGGCACAGGGCTGGCGGGCTCAGTGGGGAATGCTGGCTGCGGAAGGCAAGGCACAGCCCCCACTCGCACTCTCTCCTCCCACCTACCCCAAGAAGGCTGGCAGCCCACTCCCGGGCCCAGCGGGCACCCGCCGTGGCTCCCCTCCATGGCAGTTCAGATCCATTCCCCGTGCCTGTTCACTGCCTGAACTCACCCGGAGGCCTGGAAATGTCACCAACGCGCTGGTTGCCCAGGTTGGAGCACAGGGGAATTCTAGGGCAGTGAAGCGATTCTGTGTGACACGGTCATGGTGGAGGCAGGACGCTGTGCTTTGGTCCAAACCCACCAAGCTGACAACACTGAGAGGGACCCCTGATGTAACTCTGGGCTCTGGTTCACAATGACTATTGATGTTGCTCATCAGCTGTAACAAATGTACCAAACCAGTGCAAATGTGAATAGTAGAGGGAAGTGTTCATGGGGAGGCAAGGGGGCATTGGGAACTCCCGCCCCTGTGGGCTCAATTTTCTGTAAGCCTAAAACTGCTCTAAAACATAGTCTATTAATTAAAAAAAAAAAAAAAAAAAAAGCTGTCATGAAGAATCACAGCGCCCAGACCGCTCACATCCCTTTGTGATGAATATTTCAGGTCTCTGGTTTGCTCAGAGACAAAACAGCTTGGATCTGAGTTAAAGTCTCTCACTCCAGAATGAGCCACTCAGCTCCCACAGGGGAGTGGGAGCATTGCCTCCTGGGCAGCTGAGCTGGTGCCCCCGCCGGCATCACCATGGTGGCCTCAGGCCGTCTCAGCTGATGCCCTTTGTGAAGGACACGTTCCCGGGCTGCCCAGGGGTCCCCCGTGGGAAGGGTTTTACTGAGGCAGGTTCCACAAAGCCCTCCTCGACCAAAATAGCTCTGTCCTTGGTCCCCTGTGGTGCCACCGTCCACCAAACCTGGCCCAGGCCTGCTGATTCTCAGGACCCGCAAACCTCGGGATGGAAGGGGTTGACCGCCGAGTCCAACCCCTCGTTCAGCAGATGGGGAAACTGCTGGAGGCCCAGGACTAAGCAGGACTGGCCCGGGCCTCCTTGACAGCGGGTGGTGTTTGAGGATGAACCTGTTCCTGTCCCGTACAACCTCGGGGCTGTCCTGAAACACTAGTGTCCTCACATGCAACACGGCAGGAAGGGGGTCTGACTCAGCTTGTGGGTCCCAGCTTCCTCGAGCTCCAGCAGAGTGACCCTGTGCCGTCGCCCCGAATGGGAAGGGGCTGAGAGAGCCCTGGGGATGGCTCAATGGCCTGCAGAGGCCAGGCCTGGTGGCTAGAGGAAGCAAGCCTGCCTGTGGGGTGGGGCACAGCATCTGCCCCAGTCCCTCTGCCGACAGCAGCAAAGGGCACTCAGTCCAGAGGCAGAATCAGCTCCAGTCATGGTCATGCCACTTCGGATGGAGATGTGCGAGAGCTCACACATGGACACTGGGGGCAGGAGGACACAGTTTGCCCCTAGGCTGGCATTCCCCACCCACCACCCAGCAATCTCCCCCTTCTCTCTCACCCCCCAGGCCCCCTTCCAATCCCCCGGCACCTTGTTAGGGACTAAATTGTGCCTCCCTCCAAATTCGTATGTTGAAGCCCTAAACCTCAGGATGTGGGAATGTGACTGGTTGGAGAGAGGGCCTTAGTTAAAATGAGGCCCTCAGGGTGGGTCCTGATCCAACATGACTGGGGTCTCTGTAAAGAGAGGAAATCTGGATCCACAGAGAGACACCAGAGGTGAGTGCGCCCAGAGGAAAACCACTGTGAAGAAGCAAGAGGAGGGTGGCCATCTGCCAGCCCCGGGGAGGGGCCTCAGAGGAGACCAGACCCACCTTGGTCTCTAAGGGTCAAGCGAACTTGGATCTTAGACTTCTGGGCTCCAGAGCCGTGAACAAATAGATTTCTGTTGTTTACGCCACCTGGGCCCTAGCAAACGAATACATGCCTCATCCCGAAGCTGGGGACGAGAGGGGAAGTTCAGGGTAGGAGCACCGGTTCAGAGGGGCAGGACTGAATTGTGAGTTTTTGATGATTTCCCCAGAAGCTCTGTCTGGAGCGTTCCTCCACCAGCCTGGTCCCGGAGACACGGGTACCAGACAACATGCTTCTTTGCCCACCTGGATAGCTCCTATCAATCCAGCACCGAAGGCTGTGGCTTTTCCCTGGCTGCCTCATCCTCTCTCACCTCTGAGCTTGTGTTCCTGCAGCCGCTCTCTCTCAGCATTTTCAGAGGCTCCCCCCATGCACCTCCTCTAGGAAGCCCTCCTTGCCTGACTCAACATTTAAACCCAGTTCCTTTGTCGCCCGTCATGTGACGTCAGTGTGCTTATCTGGGACAACGTGGTAAAACCTCTGTATAGGGCCTGGACCTCGGTAGCCACTCACCAAATTATAGTTATGACTGTCATCATATTAATTAGTTATTAACATAATGACAATTGGGTTACTATTAATAAAACTCATGTCGAATGCTGATATTATTCCTGCCAACCCCTGGCTTCTGTGAATCACCCACACCTCACCTTTCCCCGGCCCTTCTTCCTCCCCCTGCCCACCTTCCCTCACCCCGCCCAGCCTCTTGGTGGTGCCCACCACCGGATGCGGGATCCCACACAACCCCCATCTGTACCGGCCTGTCTGTCACCACCAAGACTGACATGGCCAGCTCTGTCAGGGGACACGCTGCCATAACCTGCAGGGCCCACTGGCCCCCCGCCCCCAACCCCGGCCCGGGAAGCAGATGGTCAGAAACTAATGAATCAGCCTGTGTGTTTACCGGCCCCGCGCCTGCTGCTGAGCGGGCTTAATCAACAGCGAGCACGATAAATAAATCCCAAGGCATCGCCAGCACAATTCTCTCCCTCTCGCTCCCATTTCTCTTCCTCCCTTCCACCGCCCTCCCGCCCCAAGTTCTTGGAATTCCATTTAACCATTTCGGGGGTGCGGGGTGTGTCTCCTGTTGAAGGCGCTGTCCGCGCTGAACCGGCGGTGGTCCTTCCCGAACACCATTTGCTCTTGCCTTGCTTTCCTTCTGTTCTCCCCTAGCGAGGGTTCCCGAGGAGGAGCCTGGGGTTGGGAGCCCATTTTACCCCAAGCGCCCCTCCCCCAGGGCTGTGCCTCAGTCTGACAGCTCATGAGGGCAGGTGTGAGGGAGGGGCCGGGCTGGAGGGCCGGCGTCTGCCCGCCTTCTTGGTCTGCACATTTCCACCCATCTCCATGAGATCAGACTAATACTGAAACACAATCCAAACCATACCTAGTGCCTAATACCTGGCCTAAAACCAGAAAGTTGGGGTGTTGGAGGCACACCTTTAACTTTTTAGGATGATACCAAAGCCAACATTTGATATTATCATCGAAAGCAGTCATTATTTTTTTTTAGACATTTCATGAATATTCCCCCAAAAGTAAATAAATAAAAATCATACCCCTGACTAAAAGGTTTGAAACTTTCTCCAAAGAAAAATGTAACACACCGCATTTTCCATGCAAACTCTGGGGATTCATGGGGTCCTGTCTCCCCAGTTAGGAACCCCTGTTCTGGAGCAGTTAAGGAAACCGGCTTTGGGGTCTGAAAGTCCTGGGTTTAATCTCAGCTCTACCCCTTGAGGCTGTGTGACCTTGAGAATGTTGCTTTACCTCTTTGAATGTAGCCTCTCATCCAACATCATGTGAAATAATGTGTACGAAATACCTAGAAAACATCTCCAAATGGTAGCAATAATTATTAAACAGCAGCTTCAAATACACTGGCTCAGGGGCTCTCCCAGCAACCTTCGATGGGAAGAAGGAAGGCTGAGGCCAACCAGCTCATTAACGGTAAAACCAGAACTTCACATAAGACACGGACCGCCTTGGGGACTGAGGGCTCAGATGTGCATAATGATCATGCCATTCATTGCGTGCGAACCGTGTGCCAGGGCTGGGCTGGGCACTTCGCACCCATTCCGCATGGCATCCTCCCAGCAACCCCGGGGCGGCCAGTGCTACAGACCGAGAAGCCGAGTACCTGCCAGCCCCC